CCTGCCCGTCGATCATTTCGGAATGTTCACATGATGGACTGACTCGATTCACCCATATACCCCTGTTATCGATCCGAGATTAGCATTCATATTTTCTTCCAGTTACATCTTCTCGTTTTAAAACGATTAACAATTGGTTAGGATGGATTAAGTAATGGGTTTCAACGGGTTAGGATGAGTTACCAATAAATTAGCATAGATTAGAACAGGTTACCACGAGTTGGAATGAATTACCTGTCCGTTCAGGTACAGGATGTTGGGACCTTGGGGGATCAACGGAGGACGTCATATGGAAGCGAAACTTCCTCTTCCGTTTTTCCTACGCCGCATAGTTTCCGAATTACGCCCCTCCAAAGAACCGACCAATCAGAGCACAGCATTTTTATTTCCGCTGTATCTCCGAAACCACGGGTCGTAGAAAAAAATGGTAAAGGAAGTTTCGCTCAGAGATAAGTTGGGAGATTGCTCACGGGCAGGGTCGCGCTATTGCATTTCGTGCTGCCCTCTGATTTCCTACATTAGCTTTCACCATTTTTTGCCCCCAAGTGTGGCGCAACAAATTTCTGGTAGGGGCTCGCGTACTCGCAATGTCCGTGCCATCTACCAGTCGCCGTTGGCGGCTCGCGTATTCGAGATGGTAATACCATGCAGCATCTCTCGTATCGCCGCGGAATCCGGTTGCCGATCCATCGCCCCGGTTGCGAACGACCCCTACCCGTATCAAACCGGTTCGTTCAGGTACCGGTGTCTTCGACCCGGGGGGATCGACAGTTTCTTTATTACTTTCAGATTCGATGCGTAGTTTCGGGCATGGAAGCGGTTGCGCTAATTTTATACTACCCTGTTACCACACACTAACCCTGTTTCAGAGGTATTAACGTTGGAATCCCAACTGGTTGGATCGCAGGATTTTGGTTCATTGTTGATGAGGAACGTCACTTACACTTTGTTTGTGATGTAAAGGATGGGTTTATTTGCATTAAGTGTGTAAAGACATTAACGTATACTTTATACAGTTATTTGTCCAGTTTTCAATACCTGTCTTACGCTTAAATTAATTCTGGCCTCCGAAATATATCTGCTTGCTTTAAGCCAATCTTCTGAATCGGATTCGGGAGAATATCTGTCGTTCCATTCGTCGCGGGCCCAAGGTACGTCAAAAGTTTGCAGGATTTTCGGAACGCCGTGATGTCTCAAACGAGATGCACCAAACATGATTAAGATATCCCCGCTTCTAAGTAGTAATGCATTGGCAGGATCGGCTAGAGTCAGTCCCCCGATTAAAAAGATTGCCGACTGTCCGAAACTAAGCGAGATAAGAGGTGCGTCGATATTTAATTCTGAATGGTCCGTGTGTCCTGCTAAAGTAGAATTCATTCGGTAATAATTAATTATGGCTGCTTCTGCTTTAAAATTCTCAAAGCCGACAGTACGAGCTAAGAACTGGGTTAAATCACAAATTTCAAATGGCACGTCGGTTTTAGTTTCTTCTGTGTATCGTTTTGTTTCCCAGTTATGATGATATCCTAGTGTCGACCATCTCAGTTTAGGTAAGAAATTAACTGCTCTTTCTGAATTCCTATTCGTTTTTAAATGAATTAATGTAATAACCGTATAAGAAAAGAAATGAGCTATTACACTGGCTCTATGAAAAGGCTCACCCAAAGGAAACGTCCCACCAAGTGTCGTTGTTATTCAATAATTTCTGCGCATCTAAGTTTGAAACGTATGGCTTCCGTGAGTAGTCTCTTAGACATTTAGTAATCCAATACCGCTGCCCGTTACGTGTGAAAGGATTCTGAATAATGATTAAATCTGAAAACATCCGTACTAATGGGTATTGCTAGCAGATCTGTAAATTACCCTGGAACGATTGAAAAAATATCTAAGCTTAATTGAGTTAATTAATTGTGGTCACCTGCGATGTCGAAGAATCTATACAATTTCCAATGTTTTATAGGTTTCAAACCTAAAATTTCGTCTTGAGGTCCTGTGACATGGCACGTTGACGCTCGCTTAACCTATAAATATGTCAACCTCTTCGACTGAAAGGAAGGATTACATTTTTTTAGTTTCTACCTACCTACCTACCCAGCTACGTACCTTGGTTGCGTCTACATACCGTACATCTATAACGTGTTTCAAATCAGGTGGAGGATTCCTACTTTTGTAATATTTGAAACTATCCTTAAACATTTTCTTTTCAAAGGTCGGTCCACGACTCGACTTATGGAACTGAACCTATGTCTCCACCGTCGGTATTTATTCGATTGGTACGTTTCCACCGGCACCCTAAATGCCGGATTTATAAACATTGAATTAACAAGTGTGACATTTAAGCCCTATTCCACGACTCGAGTTGACCAAAGTTTACCTGATGTACATTTGGTTCAACCTGCTGTAAACCAGATAAATTTCGATTAACTTGGGTCGTGGAACCGGGCCCGATCGATTTGCGGTAGGTTTCAATCGGGTATCGAGAGCTTCGTACGCGTAGCATGTGATTGGTATAAACTAAACCCGAATGTTCCCGGATGGAGTCGAACGTAGTCGAATCGATGCGAGTAACCGGGTGGGAAGTATATTGCGTCGTCATTGCCTATCATTGCCGTTGAATGACGAGTGATCACGCGGAAACGGCGACGGACGGGACAGCGGGAAGAGTGCGAGGTTATAAATGCTCGGGAGCTCGTCAAATGCGCGTTAGTTCGATCGCCCGACTCGTTCGATACGATCCAGAGAAACGACGCGGAACGCGGTGATTCTCGGTGCCGCGACTTGCCGGCTTCGTCGATGCGACCGGTTTCGTCAGCATCGGTGCAAATGCCACCGATCTCGGTACGATTCGATATCAAGATCGACGGCGCGATGAGATAATCGCAGGACTACTCTTCGTATCCGAACACGAGCCTCGGCGACCCAGCCTTCTTCGGCCGTCCGTACTCAGTCCTCAGTGTAGGCTAGTCGGTCGCCGATCGAGTCGGTCACACTGCCTCGCCTTATCGCGTCGCCCTGGACGTTGGACACTCCCTCCGACTGCCCAAAGATCCTTTGTTTCCTCGTTAAATAAACTATGGAAGTACTGGAACGGTCTCAAAATTGAGGAGGACCTGTACCAGCTCGTTGCGCCTTCGTTCCACCTGACTATCCAGTGACAGGGTCGCGCTTCTGACCGCAACGTCAGGGAAATCATCATGACCTCTGCGTGCTCTGGAAACTGCACGGAGACTGGATTTCTTCCGGAGACAATCGTCAGGGAAACGTGGGTCCTGTGGAACCTGGTCGTTGATCGTGTTGGAGTCGCGGAGTACCAGCCATGGATCTTCTCCCTCCTTGGTAGCGTCATGGTAGGCCTCTCGGGGGTCTTTCCTATGTTTGTTGTTTCTCTCGACGACAGCCAGGATCTTAAACATGGAGGTAAAATTGTGCCCCGTTAAATGCTTATTCCGACTAGTCTCTCTCTATGCCCCTGTTTCTTGTTCCAGCCAATGCTGGTACGCTGAAGATGCTTTTGAGCTTTGCGGTTGGTAGCCTCTTAGCCGATGTCTTTCTACATTTACTACCCGAAGCCTGGGCTAACAAGACATTGAACAAAGGTAGGAATCCGCACTATCGTGGCATCGTTGGCCTCGCGCTCGTTCGATTCGGCGTCCGGTTGTTGCTGCGATTAAAAACTAACCTGAAACATGAATGATTACGATGCACGAGTTAAGTATTAAATGTGAGGTGGACATGCTTTTCGATCGGAACAAATGAATTACAGTGGATCGAAATGGACATCGTTCGACGACGTGTGGACTGTGGGTTCTGACTGGCTTCCTGCTCTTTGTCATCGCTGAGAAAATCTTTACCGGAGAGCTCCAGAGAAACGAAGATACAAAAGAGGAGGAAGACTCGGAGAAGAAAGCTTCTGACGAAGTGGACAACAACAACTGCCTAACCGCTATCGAAAACGATCTTAAAAGTCCGTTGATGAAACTCCTGGCCGAAACGCGATCAGTTAGCGACATAAACGGATCCAAGAAAACAAAACAGTGGGGTCCTATCGGCGGTTACTCGCCCTACATCTCCCGAGTCCGTTTTCTAGGATGTGACATCGGCCTCAGGACTAATCGAATTCCAAAGAATCCGAAAGAGATACTCGACCGTCTAGATCCTAACCAAACGAAGAAAGAAAAGAAAAAGCCTAAGCATGTATCCGGGTATCTCAACTTAATGGCAAATTGCATCGATAATTTTACCCATGGCCTAGCCGTAGGAGGATCGTTCCTCGTCTCTTTCAGACTCGGGGCGTTCACGACGCTAGCCATCTTGGTTCACGAAATCCCACACGAGATCGGAGATTTTGCGATTCTCTTGAAGAGCGGGTTCACGAGATGGGACGCCGCCAGGGCGCAGCTTTTGACCGCAACCGGTGGGATACTGGGGGCGCTCATCGCCATCTCGTGCTCCGGAGGCGGTGGCGTCGGTGAGTCGACTATACTTTCCCGCCCCTGCCTCGGCCCTGCGTAACCGTGACGCGTGTCAACCTTCATTTTACAGAGTCGAAAACCAGTTGGATACTTCCATTCACGGCAGGTGGATTTCTGCACATCGGTATGGTTACGGTATTACCGGAATTGCTCCAGGAATCGAATCCCAGGGAATCCTTGAAACAATTTGCGGCACTCCTTGGAGGCATCGTCTCAATGGCCGTTCTGACCTGCATCTGCGACTAAAAGCTAACGCTTTTTCCACGTGGATCGATCTTCCGGTGAATCTATGGAATCTATGCCGCCCGCGATCGGCATGTTACTCGCTAGCTCGGAAAAAAAGAGATGACCTTTTCAACTTCCTTCGCTCTCCCCGAGATGAATCATTTCTTGGCTCGATTTCTTTTACAAAACAAAGGACAAGACGCAACGAAAGCGCAGCGAGCGTTCAAAGTAGACTTCCTTCGTCCTAAGCTTCACAGAAATGAATATTTTTATCCATGTACATAGAGTTAAGCGCGTGCTAAGGACAAGGTAAGTCGTGCAACTACTCTTGGAAAGGGCGACGCATACCTGCTTACGAAGCGAATTGCGCGATAGAACACATTTCATTTTTCCTGTTGCCGCGAATTACACGCGACGAGAAGACTGCTTTTGCCCTGGCGAAGTTCGTGACCACCCTTGCATCTACCTTCTACGTACGTCGTCACGATGGGACCACGAGCTCGGGCTCGCACCACTTAACATCCATTAGCGGAAGAACCTAAGTGGCTTTGTTTATTTCGCGCGTGAATAGTCGAGCCGACCCTGTCTATGGCGTACAGGCATGTTTTTTGAAAAACCGAAAAACGATCGATTCGTTAACGTAACCGTGGTACAAATTCATTACATTTGGCGAAGTGATTACGAGTTTCCATTGTTCTACCTTCACCGACGAGTCGTTGTAGGAAACGTGTCCACGTCACGCGGTCCGTTCAAAATTTAACGGTTTATCACGATCTATTCTTGTACTTAAGAAATTCTCTTTGCGAGCTCCCTTTCGTATTTACCGAACTCAAAGTATCGAAAAGGGTGTGTACCGTACGTTTGTATAATACAAAGTTGGTTTTTGTACGAGTAAGTGCCGTTGAACCGCACGGGCACGCGCTAATTTTCTGCGATGATTCGTTACCGAAGCTGCATCTCGAAAATCTTCCGAGAGATTGCTGTATATATCTCGATCATGGCATTCGACCTCGCGCATTTTTTCCTGCCGCATTCTGTCGACGTCGACGCAACGTACGTCGCAATTCTCGAGTAACCGAGCCGCGATTCGATTGCGTTAGCCGAGCTAACGAGCGATCCCGAAAAATGTCAAGTTGCCGAGAAGGGAGTTCCTCGCACGCGGAATCGGGACGTTCCAGTTCGCCTCCGCGTTAGAGACGCTCGTCTCCGGTCTACGGCGAGTCCGGAAAAGAATCCGGGTTGGATCTTGGACCCGAGGTCGACGCGTAGTGAGCGCGCGTGCCGAGCGTAGTTGGCCGATAATCGGAGTGGATGAGCGTCGACTTGCGGGGTGTCCGTGGTATTCGACGCAGCTGAGCTAATTGCGCGTCGCCTTTTGCCCCCTTTTCACTCCGTCCACCGACGGGACACCATGGATCGTTGCAACTTGTCCGAAAAGGATGTGGAATTTGCAAAGACGTATTTGAACGAGGATCCCGATGACGGCAGCATGAAAAAAATTAATCAAGTGAAAACCTGGTTGGCAAACGATTCTCACGTACGATCGAATCAAGGTAGTAATCGCGAACGACTCGTTTCCGAGACGTGAGCTTACCGATTCCGTTTGGTTTAAGTGGACGATAGATTAGTACGTTTATGGGCGGAACGTACCGTATGCGCGAGTACGGTTTCTCTTTGCCCCACCGAGGTCGGTAATTTCGGAATCTGCAGAGCCCTCCCAGAATGCACACAGATCGAGCAAATGTGAGGTTATGCGCGCGCGCGCGCGGACTCCTCGATGAACCGCCGCCATATCGCGGATCCAGGAAGACCATGAAAGACGACGCCTTCTCCGTGGACCACAAATCGAAAACGAAGCCGCGCTCCAGCTTATCGCATGAATCGACCGCAATTCGACGTACGAACTAACCTTACTTTTTCCGTACCGACCGCGATGTAAAGCCAACCCCGAATTCCCAAGCGGAACGGCCGGCATCGCTTGGGTCAGCCGCGTCGAAGATGACGCCGAATGCAGCTGATCGTCTCAACGATTCCCGCCTACTACCCGCGACTAACGTTAACTCGATAAGGCACTGACAGAAATATTTGCATTTCAGACGACTTCTTTATTCTACGCTTTTTGAGGTGCTGCAAATTTGACGTGGAAAAGGCAAAGAAGAAATTAGAAAATTACCAACAACTACGATCCGGAACACCGGAGTGGTTTTCGAACAGAGATCCGTCTCTGCCTGCATTGCGGGAAATATTTCGCTTGGGGTACGATACATTTGGCAATCATTCCGTAACTTTGTAAAAGTAGAACCGAACGGTACCAAAGTCGCGGAATCGTGCCTACTCGACTACCAGGATCGTCATCGCTTTCTAACGATTTTCCAGGGTGTTTCTCCCATTAAGGAAGCTAGATAACGGCGGCAGAGTTGTCATTATAATTCGAGGAACCGTACACGACCCTCGCCAGCACCAGATGGCCGATGTGCTCAAGGTGACGTATGGAAACGGTTAAAAATTGATTCGAATAGTGGGCCGTGGGACTCGATCGCGCAGCCGACGCGTGCAGAGATACCGCCGTCTTGATCGGGGAAAAGGAATGCCTCCCGCGTCGAATTTATTCTATCGGCTTCCACTGACGCTCGCGATCGGGTCCACTCGGTTCGACGAAACGAATACTGCCTTGGCTTACCTGGGACTCGTTTACTCCAGGTTTGTCTGATGATCCTTGACGTGGCCGCAAGAGAGAACGTACCCCTTTCTCTGTACGGTACCAGCGTCATCCTCGATATGCAGAACGCGACATTGGGCCACGCTCTGCAGTTAACGCCTGGCGTGATAAAACGATTGGTTCATTCTTGGCAAGGCTGTTACCCTATAAGGATTCACTCGATGGATTTCATAAACGGCCCAGCTTACCTTAACGTCGTACTGAACATCTTCAAGTCGTTCATGAACAAAAAGTTACGGTCCAGGGTGTGTATTCGCAAGAGCTTCGACGACGTTCTGCGCGATAAAATACCGATCGAATGTTTACCGCTCGAGTACGGTGGAACGGACGGCTCGATCGACGACTTGAAAGGTACGTAATTAGAATCGAGTTTACCGCATACGAGAGTCTCGAGTATCTCGATCTCGTTGCAGACTACTGGATGGCGAGGGTCGAAGAGAACCGCGAGTGGTTCGAGCAAGACGAGAAGTCGATGGTCGAAGAGAAGCGTCGCGAGGACGAGCGGTGTTAAGTAATCGCGTTTAGAAGTTGACGCTAGCTCGACCCGGTCGACGATCCGAAGCGAGTCGCGCTCGGTGGTTACCGGCGGCCCCCCGCGACGCCTACAACGGGAGTCCGTGGTCCACCTACCTATGCCTTGGAACGCTTCAACGACGATCCTTGAAGATACTGACGTCTTTCTTTCTGCCTCTTCCCCTTCCGCTCCCTCTTCCCTCCGAGGGACGACTCGAAGCGTAATCGTCCTTTAAAAGGGGGATGAGCCACCACGCGTGTCATGCGGATCACCGCCGGCCGGCTTTGTCCCGCTTGGTCTCCTCCGAGAAGCGAAAGAGGAGCCGTTTACCGCGGACGGAAAATCGATTTCGCACTTGTCCAGAGCGCGTAACGGGGCCCGACTGGAGGAGTTTCCAAAGACGCCTCGGGTGCCGGAGTCGCGCCGAATGAATGGAGCCCCGGTCAATGGGGTCCACGGCGTCGCGGCCAGATGGCCCGCGCCCTTTGCGAGCGTCTTCGCCTCGGGCCGCCACCTTATAAATAATCGTCGCATTGTGCCCCGCGGTCCACGGTTGCGGGCACGCCTTTCAACGCGGCCTCTTCGATTCCATTATGGGCCACCCCACTCGACGTTCCCTGATTTATGCCCGTCATAACCGGATTGATTTACCGCGCCCTCGAGAAGACGAGCGCCGACCGAGCGGTCCCGCGAATCGACGACGCTCGCGGGTCAGGATCGGCTGTCCACGCCCCTGTCGCCTATCTCGCTCCTATCGCCGAGGGGCGCGCTCCCCCGGCCCTCGCGAGCCCCATAATAGGACCCACCCTCCGGAACCACTCGACTGCGACCGCACGGGTACCGCCCCTGGGATGGCGGCCTAAATTTTATTATGTTCTTACGCTCGAGCGATTACGGCTAACCAACGCGCCGACGTCTGTCATTTATAACACGGCCAGGACGGGGTTCTTCCCGAAGCGGCGAAACGGTTTCCAAAGGAACGCGGCCGTACGTTCTCGCGCTCGAGCACGGAGAGGAAGAGAAAGCCGCCTCCGCGCGGGGCGGCGCTCGGTCCCGCTCGGTCCCGCTCGGTCCGAGGCGCGGGCCCGTTGAATCGACTCGGTCCTCCGCTCGACCGCTCCGGCACAAAGGCAGATCGAGCGACGAAACCGAGATGTCGGGAGATCGCCTCCCGAAACCCGCCTCGACGCCTCTCCGAGCGCGCTCGAGCCCCGGCCCAGGGGGTGCGGTCCCCTTCGCGGTACCCTTCGTCCTAGTCCCTCCACCCGTTTGCGGTCGCGGCCCGACGCCGATTAGACCGGCGCCAGTATCGTTTCGAGTCTTTCGGCAAGCGGTTCTCCCCCTGACCGCGAAGAGCGACTAGGACCCGCGAAGGCATGCGCGCCGGCACGAGCGAGCCGATCTTCTTCCGACCCTGGCACGAGGACGTCCGACCGGGGCCCTCCGCGGAGGGCGCGCGACTCGGCATCGACATCAGCAACGCGTCCAAGCCCGAGCCCGTCGACCGGTGGCCCAGGATCTGCGAGGGCGGCCCGCCCCCGGTCGCGGTTCCGCCGCTGCCGGCGTTCTCGCCCCTGTCGATTCCCTACGGGTCACCCCCCGCGAGCTGCTTTGCCTTCGCCGACGACGCCCGCCTCCTCCTGGAGGACGCCGTTGCGTATGTCCGCCGCAGGGACGCCGTCGAGAGACGCGCCAAAAAGCTGCGTCCGAAGAAGTTCCGATGCGAGCATTGCCACGTCTCCTTCAGCAACAACGGCCAGTTGAAGGGTCACACTCGCATTCATACAGGTGAGTGCCGCGGTCCATCCGCGGTCCATCCGCCGACGTCACCCAGCCGTAATCGCGGACGGCGTCTCCTTCTTCCAGGTGAGAGGCCGTTCCGTTGCGAGGTCGAGGGCTGCGGCAAGTCCTTCACCAGGAACGAAGAACTGACGCGGCATCGACGCATCCACACGGGCATGAGGCCGCACTCGTGCAACCTGTGCGGTAAACGCTTTGGCCGCAAGGACCATTTGAAGAAGCACTCGCGGACGCACGAGAACCGCGGAGCTCTCCGCGTGCCCAGCTGGCCTCCCGGGGGGTGCTGGCTCGCCGACCCGTTCACCGACCCGTTTGCCGCGACGCTCGCCGCGACGCTCGTCCCGTCGCTCGTCCCGTCGCTCGTCCCGTCGCTCGTCCCGTCGCTCGTCCTTTGATCGCCGCAACTTTGTCGAACCGAAGGAGCGTCGACCCAAATCGATTTGACTGACTGTAAGTTTTATTGGTTCTGTAATGTGTAAAGTATTCCTATAAAATGTACAATAAGCTTCTATGTTACAAAGACCGACGCACGTGGCGTCAAAATGGTGGCGAAAAGGGCTATCGAGTTCTGCTTTTTATTTCTACAGTTTCAAAGTTACCTCGCGCTCGCTTCACGGATTTGACATCTTACCGATCTTCCGATTAAACGTTTCATCCACCGTTACCAACGGTTTTATTTCTCGATGGATTCTCTCTCGTTTCTACGATTTCATTGCACTCTCCTTATCATTTCCGGTCGCCGTTGTCTTTGTTTCGTTGTTTTTCGAAATTGAAACGGACGCTCTCTTTAGGAGGTACGTTACGAAAGTAGCTAAATCACCAGTGCGGTGTAGCAACGTTGCAACGACCCCGGCTCGATCACCATTTGCGAAAAATCGAGTGCAAGGAGTACGTCGGCGTGGATCGCATCGCAAGGAACAGTAATTAATGATACAATACTCGCACCACTGAAATACCGTTAGTTCTCTTCAACGGTGTGAAGAGGATTAAAATATTCTAGAAAGGTACTGTACAAATAACAATCGATATCCGAAGCTCATCCTTAACCGCGTTTAAATTTAAGAACCACCATACTTATCGTTAAAAACACGATAATCCAGAGAATAGTGGAGATGAAACCGTTATATACATCGGGTTCGTAGATTGACCACCCTCGAGTTAGCATTGAACGAAGAGAGGTTGTTGCCATCGTTAAGGGCAATCCCTGCGAGACGTACCGCAAAATCGTCGGCATTCCTTCGACCGGCCAAATGACACCTGAAATGCCAACATCGTTGTCTTCATTTTTGGACACTCGAGGCCAGGCAAATTCGTCGGCATCGGCACGGGGCCGACCCCGGGGCGCGGACTCGCGTCACGTACGTAGTTTTAACCATTGCCACTTACCGCTAAGTAGAAGGGTCGGGTAGAAGCTGCCGAGTGCCAATTGTATAGCGTTTCTCTCGAGTTCGCAAATCGCCGAAATGACGAAACCTGTAACAAGTACGTGCCTATGGGAGCTAATCAAATCACGACCACGTGCGGCATAAGGACGCGCGATAACGGCCGGCGGGAAAGGTTACGATAGATACACGCAATGCACAGAGTAGAGCGCCCTTGACTGACGCGTAATCGAGATAAGATACGTTGGAAAACGGGGTGGGGACGCACGGGGGTGAAGATGAAGATGAAGATGACGATGACGATGACGATGACGATGAAGCGCACTGGAGGAAACTCCAGGAGAAAAGTTTACACGCGAGTGTCGCATAGTGCCACGATGATGGAACGTACCGAAACACATGCCACAAAGACCCTGCAAAATGGTGAGCAGTATCACCCAACCGATGTCGCCCTTGCACTCGACGCCGAAGACCAGAATCATGAAGATGAGGACGAGTGCCGTTTGACCGCACATGACGACAAACTGCGTGACCACGTGGGAGAAGAGGATCTCGCCCGGTGAAACTCCGGCTACCCAGCTTCTGTCCAGTAAACCTTCCATCCTCTCGATTATCAGGGCCGACGACGTCAGTGCCACCGCCAGGAAGAAGACGATGCTGCAATTACCGAGAGCACGTAATCGGTAAGGCAATGTCCACGTGTCCACGGGCCGCTCAAAGTCGACTCACGTCAATATCACTCCTGGAGCCACAAAGTCGGTAAAGCTTGGGTCGTTCGTTCCATAAATTGGGTCCTTAAATTGAATCGGAACATCGGCCAATTTCGTGTTCTGGTCGCACGTTGAAAGCAAGTCCTTTGCGAAGTCTCTGTAGGAATACTGCAGGTTTCGAGCGAGCATCAGGCCGATTTGTTGATCTGCAAGCAGACGAATTAAAGAGGTCGGCCTCATGCGTAGAATGTAACGGACGACCGCATCTTCGCGATCAAACCGACGTAAAAGTGAAAGGTGCCGTGGACTTACTGGACATATCGAGCCACACCCTGATCTCGCTCTGATCCAGTGTTTCATCGTCAGCCTCTTTTCCTAAAACCATCCTCGCGACCAAGGCGTCGGTAAAATTTTCCGTAAAGTACAAAGTGCCCCAAGCCTTGCCCCTGCGGACAGCTTCCTTGGCTGATTCTGGATCGGGGTAGTATTCCTACGATTAAAAGCCAAGGTTGCGCTCGTTGGACTGCCTTCACGCAATCGCGTATATTCCGTAACGTGTACCACCGGGCACACGCGTAATACAGTCGAGATACAATAAAAGTATTTAGATACTCCGACTGTGCGAAGGGAAGTGATCGAAAGGAAGGAACGTAGGACTCTTTACGGTTCTTTGAGCACGAGAAGGGGCTTCGTTTTCAAAACACTCGTTTCAACTTCCAAGGTGCCGAGGCCGGACAGGTGGTCGCCGGTGGCGTCCCGAAAGGTCGAGTCAACCACTCACCTTGTCCATTGTGTCGTTGTCCAGAAATTTTAGATAGCGGCAGCTAAGGTAGGTAAAACTGCAGTCTTCCGCAATTGGACAGGACATGTTTTCGTATACCATCTCGTGATTTACTATAGCCAACTTCAAACCAGTAGGATCCCTTCCGATGGCCAAGCAGAACAGAATCACTTGCATCACTGGCAAAGCGAAAATAAACAGCATCACCCTGAAACCGTGCGAAAACCCATCGATAAACTGCCTGCGTCCGTAATGTGCGTAACGACGCGTAAACCGAACAACAATTTTCTACTTACCCGACGTTTCTCCACATTCGAAGGAAGTTCTTCTGTAAGAGCGCCTTTATCTTCCCCGAACTTGTAATTTTATAGCAATCGGAACAGTCTCCGCAATCCGCACACTCGACGGACGAATCATTCATGATGCCCGGAAGCGGCTTACCGTTCAACTGTCCCGAAGCAAAGACAAAAGGTTCCATTAAAGGGCGATCGAAAGGGACTACGATTTCGAGTATTCCACGGTCCTCATCCAGCGGCAAAGGAGCAGGGTGCGCCTTTCGTTAGGATGGCTCGGGACTGAGGATTCGTAAAGGACGATGGCCGTAGAATCGTCACGGTAAAAGGGACCTTTCGTAGATCTAGGTAACCGTGTAAGGAAAATTGAGAAAAACGTTTACGTCGTAGTGGCTGCCAACTCCGTTGGTCGTATCGTAGATAAGGACTTCCTTGCTCTGATGAAAGTTAAGACCGACGACTCCGGACTCCTCGGTCACGTACACGGGACCGCCCTTCTTGTTCCAGTTTAACGATGCCTGTTGACAAAAGACGTACACGTGGTGGTCATCGTTAACGCATCTTCGCGCGCACTTCCAACGGACGGAAGGGCGATAGTTTCTTTCCTCGGAAGAACGAACGTATGGCGCCGTCGACGACCGGTTTCCACAATGGTGGCCTCGGTGGCAACGATTTCTTACCAGATTAATGTTATTCGAAATGTTCAGTTCCGTGGCGGGCTGGACGTATTGGCCTTGCTTTCTAGACAATTTAAGGAACACTTCTTCGAGCGATGTACAACCGTACATCGTCAGAAGCATTCGAGGCGACTCCTCGGCTAGCAGTCTTCCGCTCCTCATCAAACCGATCTGGAAGAGGACGTCGGAAAGTTCAGTCGACCCGGAATGCCGGATTCGTAGCTTCGGTTACAACGAGAAATCGCCCCCGCGAACGACGGCGATCAGGTACCACGGTAGACGGATAGCTAAAGAAGAATAGGACGCGTTACCGTGTGGGCTTGCCGGGCTTCCTCGATGTAATGAGTCGTGATGATGACCGTCTTGTTTCCATCCTTGGTAATTTGAACCAGGTGGTTCCAGATGCTAAAACCATACGAGCGAGTCACGCCGTTGTCGCGAACGAGGGAACGTCGCGGATTCCCCCGGACGCTGCCACCGCGAAACGCCCTTCCGAAGGGAACGAACGAACCGGGAGTGCGACCTCTTGGTTCGTTCGCGACGACTCGACCGGGGAAGGCGCGAGTCCTCGGGGACCGTTTCCATTCGCGCGAGACACCGACTGGACCGACGCGACGGGTCCACCTTTTCGCTCTTTTTTTCCTTCGGCGCTTCGTTAAGCGCGATTCCTTGACTCCTGATCTCAGCGATCATTCGACTAAAAAGTGGCAACGCGGGTGTCCAACCGGTACTCGATCTCGCGACCGTTACGCAACGCCATATTTGCCGCGAATGCGTACGCCGATTTTTTCGTCGGCGTCTAAGACGCACATCGCTCGGCGGGTTTCCGTCGACTCGTCTCTGGCGCGTCTCTGGCGCGTCTCTGGCGCGTCTCTGGCGCGTCTCTGGCGCGTCTCTAGCGCGACGAAGGGGGGAGGGGAAGAGGAACTCACCTCTGCCTCAGCAGGGGATCGACGCCAACGGTGGGCTCGTCGAGGATCAGGAGCTCCGGGTCGTGCATCAGAGCCACGGCGAAGGAGACGCGCCGCTGCTGGCCGCCGCTGCAAACGAACCAAGGAACGAGTGACCCTCTCGTCGGCGCCCCCCGACCCCCGCGCGACTCTCCTCACCTCAGATTCTTCACCTGTCTGTTCTGCGACGGCAGGTCCAGAAACTGGAGCAGGAACCGCAGCCTCTCGACGATCTCCGGAGTGTCCATCCCGAAGATCCAGCCAAAGTAGAGCATGGTCTCCCGGATGGTGAACTCCCCGTAGAGGGCGATCTCCTGGGGCATGTAGCCGACGCGCTTGCCCGGCACGCCGGAGCCCTTGGTGCCGGGCTTGCCGCCCAGGACCCAGATCTCGCCCGAGTTGAGTCGCTTGCGGCCGACGATGCACGAGAGGAGCGTCGTCTTGCCACAGCCGCTGGCCCCCAGGAGGCCGTATCTGCCAAGGGAGGCGTCGAGTTAGCGAGTCGCGCGCCCCCGCGCCCCTCCGCGCCCCTCCGCGCCCCTCCGCGCCGCCCCGGTACTCACATGGACCCCTTGGCCACCGTCATGCTCAGATTCTGAATGACGTTGTTGGGGTTCTTGCTGCTGCCGTACGTCTTGAAGGCGTGCCTCACGCTCACGGCCTGCTGCCGGTTCCACGCCGGGTTGTTGAGCCCAGGGGTCACGAGCGCGCTGCTGGGCGGCACGATGCCCCCGTCCAGGGTGTGCTCCGCGTCCGACACCATCCTCGCCGACTCCCTGCGGACCGGAAGACTTCGGTTCGGTTTGGTTTCGACCGGGAGACCGACCCCGAGACGCGATTACGCGGCACGTAACAGCTCTCCCCTCTTTCTCTTTCGACCGCTAGAAAGTAAAAGAGCGATATTTCCTCCGGGCCGCCCCACGTCGAGAGCAAGAGTCGAGGGGCCCGGCGAGGAGCCATGTCGGTCACGCGGCCAACTCGCCGCGAGGAAAACGGTCGTTTCGTCTTCCGAGCCACCCGCGGCCGGACCGGCCGAGCGCCGATTGGTATTCGGTGGCTGGCTCAATTTCGCAACCGAGGCCAGAGCCGGTGACATCACGCCGGAGACCTCCTCGATGCCTCCCCGAAGGAGGCCCCTCGGCGTCCTTGAGCCGGCCGCGGACTTTAATCCCTTCCCGTCCGATTTCTTTTCTCATCCGGCGCCGCGCTGCGAAAACGCTGACGGGACGCAATCCAGCCGCGTTCGGTCGCGTTCGGTCGCGTTCGGCCCCGCCACCCTGCACCGCGCCGCGCCGTGCCGCGCCGCGCCCGGAGCGCGGACGGAGCGCGGACGGAGCGCGGACGGAGTCTGGGCCCGACCGCTTTCTTCTTTCTAGTCCGGCGTTCCCGACTGCCGCCGAGACTGGCTCCCGGCGGCGGAAAAAACCACGACCGACGAGGCGAAACGGCGGAGTCCTCGCGCGCTCGCGGACGGAAGGGGGTCTCGTTTTCCCGGAAAACGAGGCAAACGTAAACAGGAGCGACGGACGGTACCCCTCGTCGTCGGCCTAACGGTGCGCGATCCCGAGAAGCCGTTTGCGCAATGGTCCCGAGCGAGGTCGTTAAATGCCCGGTAATTACTCCCGGTGCGAAAACGACCCTTCTCCCTTCGGTCGCGCCGCGGTCTCGGACTTTACCGACACCCGTTGGTTGGGTCCAAGTCGGTCCAGTATCGGGCTACGTCCGGCACGAATTCGCAGAATGCCCGCTTCCGCGGCAGCGCGCGACACGAGCCGACGGGGAACGGCGATCGCGAGCGACGCGCGCGTGATTTCAACGCCGCCGAGGAACGCACGACGGCGCGAGTATCCTTTACGACCTGCCTCGGTCCAAAGTCCACTGGCGGCGGCTACGGTTGGATCGGTCCTGGAAAGTTGCGTAAAGACGAATTCTTCCGATCGCCCCCCAACCCTTCGCGCGTCCCGGACTGGGCGCGGACGCGACCGCTTTCCTTTTCAACGTCGCGCCTACTTTCGACGGTGACGCCCGAAATCTATTACGTAGGACACGGGTGCGTAACGAGCGTTACAAGGTGCTCGCCTTCGGGAAGGAGGCACACTCGATGCGAGGAGCGTGCGCGTCTCTCTTGAGCAAGAGCGGCATCGGGGCTGTTCGGTGGGAGGAAGGGGCAGAGGGGCAGAGGGGGAGAGGGAGAGGGAGAGAGAGCGTCGCGCAACGTCATCGGCGACCGGATCGGGGTGCCGCTTTCCTTCGAGCCGCTCGCGCCGCTTACCGACCGACGATTTCGCTTTCCTCCTGGCCCGAGCCTCGGTCGTCTTGATCCTTTCCAGTCGCTCGCTCGGCCGCTCGCTCGTTCCCGCCGGAGTCACCGACGGTCGTCCGCGCGCTTCCACGGGGTAGCACCGATCCGGCTCGAGGGACGCCAACGTCACGAGTCGCTCATGGTCGTGTCGGAATCAAAGGTCGAGTGGTAGAGCCGGAAGACAGCGCGGTTTCCCTCGGTCGGAGTCGCGTGCGACTCCACTCGCCACGCCGTCGATCGCCACTGGTCGTCGCCGCCGCCGCCGCCGCCGCCGACACTCGACTACCTCGACCTCTATCCCTTCTCCGCGCCACGACGGCCACGAAACCGCCTCCCACTTGGCCGATTCCTTCTTCCTTTTTCTTCTTCTTGGGACCGGTCCGCGCTCGGCCCGTTCCTTCGTCCTTGCCGCGCACGCGACCCGCGACCGCTCCGGCGGTCCTTGGGCCTGCGGAGACGTCCGGGCGATGACGGCTCGGCTGGCCGTTGTTCCCGGCCCCGCGCCACGCGAGCGCCAACTTCAACCACGTGGAATCGCCGTCGTTTCTAGCGAATACCGCGCGAGCGGGAAATTTACTACGACCTTTGCGTTTCTTCCAAGCGTCTATATTCTGAGAACTCGATAACATGGTTCTACGGAGCGAGATATCGCCGCGCTAGCTTCTCCAACTGAAAATAATCGTTCCACCTTCCGCTTGAAGAGGTTAATCGACGCTTTTCTCGGTCAATCGCGGTTAACCGATGGCGCGTCATCGGAGAACCGTCCCTTTGGGATTACGATAGGCAACGTGTCACGTATGAGCGATTATTACGATACCAGTGTTTAATAACGATCTCTAGCAATTACCGCGAAACTTACGCACTGACACGTCACCGTCAACGACCTACGAGTGTTTAGTAGTTATATTTATTTTTCCTTTGAAAGTGTGTTATAATAAGGTGGATTAAACGGTGCTTTTGTACTACGAGCGCACACGTATATGTGTACCCGCCGTCTTATGATTAGATACGTTTCGTAGCTCTCTTCCGTATCACCACCCAGCGATCGGTGGGATTCTGCGATCGGCACCTGCAAGTTGAGACGTTTGAAATTTATTTCTCGTTGTTCCCAACGATCTCGACCAATTGACATCTAGGGGCAGTAATGCGTTTATCCTACTAACGTTCAACTTACCTTCTCTATCAAAGTTCTTTAAACCTCGGGCTTGACTATCGGTGCTTCTTTCTTTTCCTCGATTACCGCATTCGTCTCCTTCTCATCGCTAACCGTGTCGGCGTAATGTTCATCCATTTCCTTTTTTGCCATTACCTGTTGAGAGAATAGATTACATTTATTATCGTAATATAGTATGATTTCATTTGTACCTAGCGATTAAACGATCGATTACAGAAGACAAAAATACGATGCGGTGAGTTTAATTAGAAAGTAAATAAAATACGTACCTCTTCTTTACTTGCTTCGTCAAAGTTCTCCACCAAATCGGGCACTTCGTCATCCTCTTCTAGCGTTGCCTTTCCAACTTTTGTAGTTACGTTGGTAGCCAAACGTTTCAGTTGAGTTAAGCCCTCCGGACCGAGCTGACTCAGTATCCCAGGAAGCATTTCCGTAATCTGCTTATTTTCTCCATGACCGGTAATTGCAAAGGTATTGGCAGAAAGACTGGCTTGTGCTTTTGGATTATTAAAATGAATGACGGTACCATCATCCTTAATCATGTTAACTTCCTCGATGCCAGGAATCGTATTGACGGATAACTTTTTCAAGCAGCTTTGTAATTTCTTATCATCGGTGGCTGCAGTAGCATGCACTACCTGTCAAATATTTACTGACATGTAATTCAATATGATATTTTCCAATAGGAATCAATTACGGTATGTTCCAAAATCATATCCCTATTCATTATACAGCCAGTTTATAGTAACTATACGAGCAGTTCATGAAATATAATCATTACCTAGTTACCAGGCAAGTGACATTCTTCCTTTAAAGACTCACAGAATAAATAAATGTTGCGCATCACCATGAATATAAATTGACATAATTATTGGAATCCGCAAGATGTAAATTGAATTGAAATTTTAAACCATTAACAACATTTCGACTTGGCTTCTTGAACGGATTCTTTATTATTTCAACAAAGACACGAGCTTACGATCTACAAGTAAATACTGACAACGTAACTATTTATTTTTAAATAATTTAACAATGACACCAAAGAAGTACAGTCTTGATACATGGAACATTGGTCTTTGACGATGTAATATGTTTTTAAGATCTTGTGACTTATACAAAAGAATATACCTATTCGATCGGTAATCTTACCAATCATCGAGGATGAGAAATAAACCATTGCAGAACGAATATCATGAAACTACCCCAACACACATGATAAGATAAACAAGTCAATTTATACAAATTGGAGACACTAATTTGCGAGAGGAGGATGAAATGAAAAAATAAGAAAAGAAACGTACCTTCTTCTTCCGTCTCGGTGTGCCCTTGCCGCCGATCCGCACTTGTTCCTGCAGCTTCTTCAGTTTCTCGGGATTCATTCCGCTTCCGAACCCAAACTAGAAGGAGCGAAAAGAGATATTCCCAAGGTGAGATGGAAGCCTCTTTTGCCGGCACCCGAACACGTGCTCCGGCTTGATAGAAAATCAGAAAATGGAAGACCACCTATAATTTAGAAATATAGCGAGGCACCTGCTTCCTGTCCGTAAAGGGAGCTTCCGCTCAAGGACAGAAGACGAGACGGGAGATCGCGCACGAATCATTCTACCGTTTTCCTGTGCTGTCCTCCGTAGAGAGATCGAACGGCTCATACACGTGCGGGGTAAAAGAAACTAGCGACTAAATTCAGCGATTCGATTGGAACACAACGGTCGAGTGACACCGATTGGCCGAATCGCCTTCGCGCACGGACGGAGGTTGGGCAAACCTATGTTGTTCTCGAATCTAATGAAAATGCTAAAAGTGAGCACCTCCTGCGATTCTCTAACTTAGGCCCAGAGCGTTTATTACAGCTGCTGAGTAATCTCCCAACTCATCTCTGGTTTTTATGTAAAATTAAGCAGGGGAGCCTTAGACCTGACTCTGTAACTCGAATTAACCGAAGTTTAACTGGTGTATATGCGATTTAAACCTGCTGTAAACCACTTCAGTCCGGTTCTATATATGTATGTACAACTCCAGTTAACCAGAGTTTAATTGATTTACAGCAGGTTGAAAACAAGCATAAACCTGTCTTAACTCAATACGTATGAATCCAGTATTTAAGGTGCCGGTGGAAATGTAGGAAATGAAATATCGGGTTTAGGTTTGGGATGCTGATACCTATTTAACTTAAATGTCACTTTCATGTGTAAAAGTAAACTTTCTTTAAAGAATGGGTATGAGCGTTCAAATAAGGACGCTGGTTGATAATATACTCAAAGAGCTCATAGGTGAAAGAATTGAAAATGTATCCGTTGTCAAAATAAATTCTAGTAATTTATCAAATAACGGAGATTTGTCTATCTTAATTAATCTTTGCGCGTGGAAGGATTATATTTCTCCTGAAATCGAAGACGAATTGATGAATATCTTGGAGTATTATTTTTATAGGAATGAACAATTCATATTGCATTCATCCGATGAGACTGCAGAAAAGGTTTTTGATTTTTTCTCATTGGTTGCCACATCGTACAGTTCCAAATGAATGATATTCTTGTGATTCGTTTTAGGTTTTTGAGGCATTAATACATTCCAGCAGAAATTGGCCACTGAAAATAGAAAAATGTACCCTGCAGAAGGAACGTGTTTGTATTTTCTTAAATCGACCACATGCAATGGCAACAGCAATTAAAACCATTATTGAGTTTGGTTCCAATTATGGAAGGGCTCTTTCAAATGAAAAGAATTTTGCCATAGAGGTGCTTCCAGACTTTGAATCCCATCTTACAAACGTACGTCTGCACATTATTAAAGATGTAACCCGGAACATCCTCAGATTGCAAGGATATCAAATATCAGAAAATGGTCATTTCAAACACATCTTAACAGTTAAATCTCAAGGTGAAATTGAAAATAATTATAAACGAATTGTATGTGGTGTGGTAAAAAGCTCCCAAATGGGGACAAAGGAAAAAGAACTAACATGGGACATGTACATTACAAGGATAATGGATAAATTGTCGCATACAGTTAGTCAGAAATTTTTCAGTGAAAATGCCATGATTGACGATTACAACGATGTTCTCAATATCGCCAAAGCAGTAGCAACGTTTGAACTTTTATCGGTAAAGCCAAGCCGTGCTGTGCTCCTTAAAGCTGACACAAATTATATCGATAACGTCATTAATAAGAAAGGTGCCGTTCGACGCTGCCTAACATTTCTTTGGAAATTAAATTTTTTGGAATAACGCACTAGTCCTGATCTAAAATGATTTAAACACCTATTTCTTTCAGGGGGGTTGTTCGTATTATATAACACAGTTAGGATAGCCGCAATCTTTGAGAAGTATAACGAACGAAGGTGTAAAGGGATGTATCCTGCGCTAACGCATATCGACGACGTGGATTTTTCATTGCTAACTCAAGAGGTGCATATAAAAATGCCTAGTGTATTTCCGATCTTATTAATAAGTTGAACTTTCCACAGGAAGAATGGGAACTCGTTTATAATTTTATTTTAGGATATTCTAAATTGATAGAAAACGGTATAAGGCACGAACCAACTCTTGAACCGTGTCCACAAGTTGTATGCGCTTTCTTATCCCAGCTGTGTAAAATGTTCAGCGTCTACTATTGCAGATTTCGTGTTTTAACGGTAATTAATCAAAACTTTAAAAACACATCGAGCACCGTCTACGATACCGAAACATTCCTGAACTTTTAGGAAAGACGACACCATTTGATACCGACGATGATGGCAAAATTGTATCTGTTGCAGAGTTTACAGATCGTTTTACACAACGCTCTCGCAATATTAGGCATCGATCGTATATCGCACATGTAACAAAGCAGCGAATTTAATTCGAATAAATCATTTCTCTAGCCCGAGGACAATACGTAATTTCCTTAGGTCCGTTTTAGATCGTTGCGAGTACTCATAAATCCTTGAAAAAATATCTGCGTTTAACGAACTAGTTTGAATATCCCGCTGGGCGGTCAAGTTGGCGGGTTTGGCGCAAGGCCACGGATTTACGCCCATGTTACATTCGTGTTACACCCCGCGTGTGCAGCGTCACCCCTTTGCTTTGGCGCAATTCGGCTCGGCTCGGCTCGGCCCGGCCCGGCCCGGCTCGGCTCGGCCCGTCTCGGCTCGACTGGGCTCGGCTCCAGCTGTTTGTTTTGTTTTTTCGGGTAGGGAGATTCACGTGACAGCCGGCGGTGCTGGTGGCGGCACGCGCGCCTGGGTCGGTGGCAAGGCAAGCCGTAATTGGTGGAGAGACGCGCGAGTCCGCGTGGACCGACCAATCGACGCGGCCGCAGGATATCCGCGACGCCCGAGTGCTCCTCCGGCGGTGCAGGGGACGTTTGACATCGATAAATACGTGAGAGTGCTCGCGAAGTTCGGAGGTGCAAGGTTATCGCGCGCTCGTCGTCGTCGCCGCCGTCGTCGCCGCCGTTGTCGCCGTGCCCGTTGCCGAGTGCTCGGCTCGTCGACTCGTCGAATCTTCTCGACGTCGGCGACTCACCGTGAGAGGATCTACCTTTATTTCCTTCGGCAAAAGAGCGCGGACCAGGAATAATAACGTCGCACGGTGCCCCGTCGACTCGGATCGCTCCGCGGGTTTGGGCGCCCGCGGGGCCCTCCCCGTCGCCCCGGCGGGACGAGGTCCGGAAGGGCCGTCGCCGGGAGGAGGGCAGGAAGGAAGCGCGTTCGCGACGTCGCGTCGCGAGTCCCGACGTCGACGTCGCCGTTGCCGAGCAGCCGAGACGCGAACCCGAGGGCGCGCGTCGATCGAAGCGCGGCTTGGGCAGAGTGGCGCCAGGGTCGCGGCGTTACCGACCGAGGGAGCGCGCGCGACGCCGCGGCTGCCGGAGTTACGCTTTCGCTCCCTTTGTTTTCCGAGGAGAACTCGGTGGTGAATCGCGGGCGGCGCGGGAGTGCCAGTGTGACCGCGACCGCGCGCCTGGGAGCACATCGCGTGCCCGCCGCCGGAGCTCGGCCAGCTCCCCGAAGCCTGAGGGACTCGCCCCCGGGAACGGCGCGCGAACCGCGCCTTTCCTCTCGTGGGCGCTCAACCCTCGGCCTTCGCGGAGCCCCCGCGACGGTCGGCCCCTTTCTTCTCTCTCGTTCTTTCTTTTGCGCGCGCGCGAGCCCTTGTCGCTCCAAAGTGGTGAGTGATCGAGAAGCGCGGCCCCGTTCGACCCGGGTTCCGAAAAGAGGTTATGAAAGGCGACGCCGCGCGTGGTACACTTTGGAGCGACGTCGGGCTCGCGCCGGTCCCGAGTCCGGACCCGGGACCGACTCGAGGCTCCGCTTTCGACCTCAGCATCCAGGGAGGCGTCTCCGGAGGCGTCTTCGGAGCGACGGAGGGAGAGGGCGAGCGGCATCGATCGGAGACGACGGCACGCGGGACCGCGCGGCCCCCGCGGACCGCCGGCCGCCTCCGGGGCCCGCCGGGGGCCCCCGACTCGCCTCTTGCGCTCCGGCCCGCCAACCGACCTCCCCTGGAAATATGAGCATTGCTGCCCTGCTGCAGGCCGCCGAGTACATCGAACGAAGGGAACGAGGTGAGGTGACGAGCTTTGCCCTTTCCCCCGGGCCCTTCCTAACCTCTGGATCTTTTCGTCGCGGCCCTTGCAGAAGCTGAACATGGCTACGCTTCGACGATGCCGATACCCGACGATCCGAGGACTTCCGTCAAGAGGTCAAAGACGAAGAAGTCCCAGGGCAGCAGGTGAGCCTTCGCCGGGGCGCGCGGTCGATTCTGTTCGCTCTCGAGATCGCTCCCGCCACGGTTCGTCTCCCGGTCGGCACCGGAAGGGGAACTCGTGCCCCGGGGACGTCGATCTCCGGACCGAACCCGTTGTCGAGCGGGCGAACGAGGGTCAGTAAATCCGCCTCTTGTTGCTGTTGCAGGACGACGCATAACGAGCTGGAGAAAAATCGGTGAGTCGGTTGGCCGTTTACCCCGCAAGGTACGGCCGACTTATTTTTTCCTTTAAAACGCCAGGTTCGCGGTCGGTTCTTCCCGAAGGCGAGGCGCGTCTCTCGGATTTACCGAAGGCAAGAGACAAGGTCGCGCTTCCTCGCGGCGGGACTGATTTTCCGGCTTTCGATCCGTTTCGTCTCCGCCATCGGCCCGTCGGCCGAGCCGGAAATCGCGCGATTACCTATTGTATTCAACGGCTAAAAGCGTCGTCCTCCGTCCCGGTGGCTCACCTTTCGGTTTTTCTCCTCTGCGGTTCGCCTTCGAATCTTTTCCTCCCCGCGTGCGGGCGAAACCCTTCGTTTCGTTGACTTTTATTTACAAAGGTTGGCGCGCCGGAAGGGGATCAAGGGAGAGAAGTACTCGCCGATCGGAAGAGAGAGACCGACTCGTGGTTTCGTGCCGGAGTCTCCGCTCCATTTGAAATGCATTGAATTTCTGAGCGGCCCTTTGCGAGCCCCCTCGCCAGCCTTGGCCTCTGAAAAACTCTCCCCTCCCCCGACGCGCAGTTCACCTCGTGGACCTCAGCTTTGCCGAACGTCTTCTCGCGCTCTCTCTTCTCTTCACCGTGATCCTCGGTCCCCTCGGGGGATCCTTGGAGGACGGGGGGACTTGTCTCTCCCCGCGGCGAGCCGATGCCCTGGCCGAGGAAAACGTCGCCCGAAGAGTCGCGCAGTTGGGTGTTGGCTTCCGAAGTGGAAGCCGATATCCCTGATCCCGCGGATCCGCGCGCGGCGGGGAGGAGAGGGAAAGAAAGGAGAGACGAAACAAGGTGGTAATTAAAACGAGACAGCGAACCTCGGCTCGGGTGTCGTCTTCCACTGGGTATGAAATCGTATCCTGACCCTCTTCCTCCCCCCGCTCGATCGCGGCGAACCCCTCCCGGAGAAGTCCTCCCTGCGGCCCCGATGCGATCCTCTGCCCACGTCGCGGAATGCGCGGAATGCGCGGAATGCGCGGAATGCCCGTAAAGTCGCCGTTTTCGTCAAATTCCCCAACGACGAGGCGGACCTCGCGGTGACTCGCTCTTTGGTCCCGAGATTGGATAATTGCGGAAACGGGACTCGATGTCGCTTTATCGGTCGGCGACGGCTCGGCGCGTCGCCCTCGGTTTGCCGGCCCGTTTTTCCTCTCGGACACCGGATCGGCCTCCTTGCTTTTCACGTTTCTTTTAAACTCCCCGAAGGATCGCGGGACTCGCGTTTGCTCGCGTGGTCGAAGGGCTCTCCTTTTTCTACGACACGCGGCAAAGAGCGCCTTAATGCCGCCTATACGAGGCTTCTATCGTGCATCAGGGACACTACGGGCTCGTCGAATAACGTTTAATCGATTTAAGGTTTCGCCGTGCCACGTTACGCCGCGTCACGCCACGTCGCGCCGCAGGAAACGATCCCAACCTCTGCCCCACGCCTTCGATCGAATCGGATTCGCTCCCGTTCCCGGGGATTTTCCGAGGCTTCGAGAATCGAGACCAAAGGATACGGGGGCGACTTGGATCACCTCGGCTCCGAAAGCGCGGATGCGAACGAAACGTGCCGGAAACGACGACACGGCCGACCGATCCGGCCTTTAACGGCCGGAAGACGCGCCCGTCCTCGTCCGTCGACCAACGATTCGGTCGACGATCGAGGGAATAACTCGGGATTCCTCCAGTCCGACCACCTCGCGATCTCCCTGCCTCGTAATTGTTAAGGAGATGGGGTCGTTCGCGTCCGCGTTGAAAGATGTAACGAGAGTGCAGGCTCCTCTCCTTGGACGTTCGATCGTTTCGCCGATTCGGAGCCGATTCGGAGCCGATTCGGAGCCGAAACGAACCGAAAGGCGGGAAGGAAGGCGCGAGACCGACCCGGGATGCACGCGTCTCTCGACCGACTCGGACGGAGCAGCCAAAGGGAGCGAGGTCGCTTCGTTTGCCGAGACGAATGGAATCGCGGATTTCGTTCCTTTCCGAGAGTGCCCTCCGCCCGCGATTCGGCCCGCAATTCGGCCCGCAATTCGACCCGCGAATCGGTTGCCGCGAGTTTCCGTCGACGGCAGGAAGAGGGCAAGGATTTCGCCGGGCGATGACTCGTTCTCTTCGTGTTCCAGGCGAGCGCACCTCAGAAACTGCTTGGAAAAGCTAAAGGTGTTGGTACCCCTGGGCCCGGAGACCTCGAAGCACACCACGCTCGGACTTCTCACCAAGGCCAAGCGGTTCATCAAGGTGTAATTGCGGACTTTTCTCTGATCGGGAAGCAAAGCTCCGTTCCATTTCCTTTTTCGTTCCGGCGATGGACGAATCGGGCTCGCCGGGGTGCTCGGGGATCGGCGTCTTCCCGTCTTCCCGTTTTCTGGGGAGACGGAGCGACTAACCGGGGGACCGTCGTTTGCAGAGCCTGGAGGAACGCGAGCGGAAGCACGCGGTCCACAAGGAGCAGCTTTCGCGCGAGCACCGATTCCTGCGCAGGCGCCTGGAGCAGCTGACCGGGCTGCAGGTGCCCGTCGCCGCCACCACCGCCCTCCTCTCCAAGAGGCGCAGCGTCTCCGAGTGCTCCGTCGGCACAGCCTCTTCCACCGCCTCCACGCTCAGCTCCAGGAACTCGGACAGGTCTGCCGGCAGCCCCTCCGTCTCGGAGTCCGGTGAGTCTCGAGTCTCGTGTCCCGTCCCCCGCCCCCCGCTCCCGCTCGCTTCGCGGGATGGAAATTCGACGGCCAAGGACGGTCCCGGTAATCGGCCGGCCCGGAACCGGAGCGAGAGCGACCCTGCCCTCCCCCGATCGATACCGGAGCGAGCGATACCACTCCCCCCCCCCCCCGACACGTCCCCGTCCAGGGCCAGTCCACCCTCCGCTAATCGCGTAATTGCCCCGATTAACTCCTCCGATCTCCCGACCTCCGACGACGAGGTCGGCCCCGGACCGACTCGCCTCTTCCGTCGTGACGACCCCCTCCGGGCTTTGGAACCGTTTAACGGGGTCGCCTCGACGAGGAGCGTGGCTCGGTTTGAAGGTGGGGTCAGAAATGAATCGAAACGCGCTCCTATTCGGGGCCTCTCTCTGTCTACGTCTCTCTAATGGTGGCCCGTCCTCGACGGCGTTAAACCGCCGTTAAACCGCCGTTAAACCGCCGTTAAGCCGGTGCTAAGGGAGGCGCGCCGTTAGTCTGGACCGCGACCAGTCCCCGTCCCCTTCTTACGGGTCTTCCAACGTGAATCCTCGATGGGACCTTCTGGATAAAGCCTCCTTCCGCCCCCCACCCATTTGCGCCCCTCCGACTTGCCTTCCGTTGAAAGGGCAACCCCCTCGACGCCGACCCGGTATCGGTGATGACCAAGGCACGTGCGTCCCGAACCCGGAAGGTCTCCTCGGGCGCGGCCGCGTCGTCGTGACGTCGGTTCCCGGGGAAGACCCGGGGGGCCACGAGGGGCGGGTGTATTTTTCCATAATCAATAACATGGCTCTATTCTCGTCACGGCGCCGCGCCGACCCTCTCTCTCTTTCTCCTTGCCCGATGCCCCTCCTCCTGGCCACTTGTACAGGTGACTCTTCCCGGTGGAGGGTCGACGACGTCGCTCATCCCTCGGAGGTCGCCCCGGGAGTCGTCCTTCCGGACGAGCCTCGACGTTTACCTTCCAATTGGACTCGTCGAACGTTTCGAACGTTTTGCATCCTTGAGCGATCGATTCGTTGACGCTTATCTTTGCGTTCTTCTCCGAGAAACGATTGGTTCCGAGTTCGCACAGGTAACCTGGCCGAGTCGAAGGTCGCCCGATTCCCTTGGATGTGGACGACAAGAAGAAAGGGCATCGACCGGCCTGACGGAGAGGCCGTCTCCTAAGCATCGAATTGGCTTTTGCCGAGTCCCCGAATCCGCGAGCGAACCGAGTCTCTGGATCCGCGCCAATCTCCGGAATAATTTAGCGTAACGTCGAGTGGGTGGGTGGTTGGATCCTTAAGGGGGTTCGCCGTACCTAGGCATTCCGAGAGGAACGGTCACGGAAGGAGACTCCCCGGGATTGGCCACGGCGACCGCGTTTTGCACCCTACGGGTACCCCCGTTTACCGGTCGAGTAAACGTTGCCGGGCATGAATCGCGAACCTAGGTATTTCCCTGGATGCGAACGCGGAATCGAGACAGGTTCTCCTGGGCCGCCATCTCGAGTCGACTTATTGTTAGCTCGGGCGTCGCTCGTAAACAGGCTCGCGAGGCGTTTCGGGGCTCTCCACTGCTGCCGGCGACTCGGCATCCTGTTTTGACGGCTCGCTCTTGCCAAAATATCTCCTACGGAGAGCCGGCGGCCTCGCTAATTTTAGCCGTCGACACGGTTACCTATATCGCCATCTTTGCCTCGACAGCGAGGCGGCGAGGCGGCGAGGCGACCGCCATTGTGGATTTTCTCGTCCAGATTCGTTCAACGATCGTGCGTTCGTTGGGAATCTCCTTCCGTCTCTCATCCTCTCGGAAGCGAAAGGTTTAAACGAAAAGTTCGACGCCGCTCGGGGAACATTCGCCTCGCAAAGGATCCACGGCTGCGATCTTAACACGTTCGCTACCAGCGCCGCAAATATGCGACGTATATCATGGACTGGTAGCGAACGTGTTAAAGGATGATATTACGAATGGCGCATCCGAAGGGTTCGTTGTATATCTACGTATTCGTCCTGCACCCGGGAACACGGGGCGCGGGTTTGAGCTTGGTCTACGAGGGCATTCCCACATCTCCATCGTCGAATCGGTCCATACGCCGCATTAGAAAAAAAAAAAAAAAAAAAAAAATTAGAAATATGAATACTTTAACCTCGAATGTAGGGATTTAACGGGAGTGCTGATCCGAGTTTCCTTTACAGACGAGGTGGACGTGATCGGCTACACGAGCAACCAGTCCGACACCGATGACCATAGCAGCGTACAAAGCAGCAGCGATAGCGGCGTTGCGATGTCCACTTCCAGGCTGACCCTTTCCGAAATGATGGACAATCTCTAGGTATCCTTCATTTTTCCACGTTTCTCTCGTTATCACTCCTTAGAGGAGTTCTCTTCCAACTAATAGCGTCTCGATTTTAACAACTAGAGAAGCAACCCGGAGATGGAAGGACCGGGAAACGAGGCGAACGAGTAACATCGCGGACGGAAAAGGCAACGTGCGACGAGAAGGCGATATTAGACCACGAGACATCTCCGACGCCTCTATATTTCTATATATTATATACATAAATGAGCACTCCATATATATATATATATAGATATATATATACACATACGTGTACACGTGTGTTTACATACAACTTTTCGATACGTTACGTAGCGTCTTCCCGCTTGCGTAAGTATATACGTGTACATATATACATATATATATATATACATATGTACAAGTGTGTGTATATATGAGAAGGGAAAAAAGTATCGCTCAAGTGAGACGGGTAAGAAGGAAAGCGAGGGGGCAAGGGTTGAAGATTTAATGGAAATAGCATTTTAAATTAGTGAGAGAGTGAGAGAGCGGGTGACGCGGGTTTTAATGTATATCGTTCGGAAGATAGACAAAGGGGGAAGAAATAAAATTCGAGAATGAAATCTTGAGAGGTCCACGTAAGGTGAAAAAAAAAAATTGAACAGAGCCTCCGCGACAAGGTGTATAACATGTGCGCAAAACGAAAACTAAAAGATAAATGGGGAACCTGTACGAGAGGTAGTAGACGCGTAAATTGGATTCCGCGGAATAAAATTGGTCAAAAAGGGTTTTCACTTATGGAAGGGAAAAGGGAACGCGCGAGATTTGGACCTCAAAGCGTTGCACTCGTGGTTCCTATCCGCGCAGTCCGTGAACGGGTGTTCCATTGACGAGAGATCATTGCGCATCGTCGTGGACTCGATGTTGATTTTGAGTTATATTCGACGTCGAGATAAAAGTACAAACGGCCAAGCGCTGCTTTAGGAGACAGTGGGTGGTATTCAATTCAAATGTGACCTCTTTGTGGTCAATCCAGGGCCCTAATCGCACGGGAATGGTCAGAGTTTTTACGCTTTTCTTTTTTTGTTTCTGATTCTCTCACTCTCACTCACTCTGTCTCTTCCCCCCCCCCCTCACTCTATGGGATTTCGGACCCCGTTGGGCGGTCTCGAAGAGAGGGAAGAAAGGGGCACGTTCCCCCTCTTTTTCTGATCTCTGGGACGCACCCGCCAGTACGAAGCCTCGAAAGCGACGATTCAGTATGCTTTTCGAGGGCCGCCCGTTACGAGGTCCCGGATATATCGTCGCGAGAAATCCCTTTCTTCACTGACTCGATCCGTTAGAATGTCAAAGCGCGTTAATCAGAGGAAAAGGATGAAAAATACGGAAACATTTTGATTTGGGCCCTGGAACTGGACCGATCCTGAGAAGTTGCAGGTGAATATTGCACCATGCGAAATTCTTTTAAATTTTATGAAATGCCAAAATATATAGTTGGCAAAGTGCACTTTCGACGAACAACAGCCTCGCGATCTATCAGAAATAAATTCTCGTTTAGGAATTGCGCGATCATTAAGCCTTGGAAAATGTGGCTTGTGTTGTTGCGTTAATATCCTTGCACGGATTTTTTTTCTGAATTCGGGTTCGTAGCTAGTGAACGGGATAGAGAGACTCAGGGACACGAAAAGCGTAAACTTTGACTTTTTTGCGATCGTCTCGCGTTCGTTTATCCACGCGGAATTGATGTTACGTGTAAACGCACGGGCGTGATAGCGACGAATTGCATGGTCAGGCCTTACGAGTCGAAACAAGAGTGGGGAGACGTGGGAGGAAAAGGTTACGAACGGGTCAATTATCGGCGCTGACGGGGTAAAATTGTATATACTTGTGGACGGCGAACATAGTGCGGGACTCGCGGCGAGAGGGGTGTCGCTGTTGGAAAACAACGCGAGCTACGGCGAGGCGTAGACAAAAAAAAAGGGAAAACAAAGGCGCGAATGCCGCGTACCCCGGAGAGAAAGATAGTTATCGTCTCGCCGGGAGGGCGAGACGATAACGATAACGCGCACGTCGAAGGGAAGGTGGCAGAAGGATGTCCCCGATACGCGTTAAATTTCCCGGTTCTGATATCTGCTACGTGTACACATTTTTCTATTTGTTCGAATCCTTGCTCGTGCGGTCATGCGAGGTGAACAGACCCACACCCCCAGCCCTTGAGGTTCTTCGGGATTAACGCGATTTTCTTGATTGCTCGTGTGTAGGTGTCCGGACCTTTCTTTAATCGTCGTGTACCGTTAGGGTTTTAAAGCGACAATATTTCCACCGTTACAAAAAGAAGCGAACGAAGAGGATTATAGAGGGCCAACGTGGCACGTTATGCGTCTCGAAGGGATAAAAAGTAAATGGTTGAAGCGACGATTCCGCGTAATTCGCGAATCGACAGGGTGGCAAGGGAAAGGGAAACGATCCGCGCGCACGCATGCACGTACATTTGGTACACGGTACGCATATGGAGGGGCAGACAAAAGAACCGATGGTGTTACGTCGGGGCGAGGTGATCCTCTTTCGAAATGTCTCGTTCGACTTTCTTTTAATTATCGTGCCGACAGCGTTAATCCGTTATTAATCGGATACGTTGGGTCAGTTGCCAGTTTCTGCTCTTTCTCTCTCTCTCTCGCTCTCCCCCCTCCCCCTTTCGAAAATGTGATATTAAAATTAGCGAAAGAAAGGGCAGGAAAATGGCGGATAGCTGCGTGACCAGAAAAACGCACGCAAGGATAGCCGAAAGGAGTTTTAAGGAAAAAAGGACGCGTTCGGAAATGAATTTCAGGGGATCGTTTATCCCTTGCTTTAAAAGTCTAGGTTACGGAATGATTGTCTTCTCTTTTTCTTCTTAACGGGGTCGATGGGATTGAACCGATGACTAGGAAAAGCAGTTCGCGGCCGCCCCCGAGGGTCGTCTCGTTCTCCGGGGTGAGCGTCGTCGACCGGTTGGGCGCTGCTTACGGGCTCACCGGTCGGTTGAAACGAACGTCCTTTCTTTTCCTTGCCGTGTCTCGAGCCGTACCAAAGTGCCTGCGACCTTTGAGAATTTTCTCCGGGATTTGGAAAACCGTCGAAAATGAATGAAAGTGGTATGCCCCGCGCGAATTTTTCGATTAATTTATCTATCCTGACGTTTCCGGGCCTCGTGCGGGAAACGACTCGATCGTCAGTTTTAAGTAGCCACAGACGTTGGAAACAAGCGAGACGTTCAGGAAAATGGAGCCGAGAATCGAGGTGGAGAAACGTGGGGATACCTCTTCCGAGCAAAAGTGCGGTCCTTTTCTCGGTAGTCGTTGATCCATGCCGGCGCGGCGTCGCCGTCGCTGTTCTTTATTATTTTTTACGGGTCTGGAAGGAAACGCGGAGAAAAACGCGGCAAGGAAAAGAAATATTTCCTTCTCGATTGCACCCGGCGAGTGCCGAATGCGATACATGTTAAATGCATGTTAAAGTAAATACAAGATCAAAGACGAGTGTCGGTCCAACGTGAGGGGGGCGCGCCTCTTGACGAGTCGATAGAAAACGAAACCGTAAATAATAACCGTAATGTAAAAATGGAACGAGCGATTAAGATTATTAGTTTATTAAGAAAGTGATTAAGCGATGAAACGATGAAGAGAAAAATATTTAGAGGTATGAATGCATCGGAATGTCCGAGGAATACGTGTGGCTCCGGCACTAAGAGCGTTTAATCAATGGTAGAGAGTGCCTAGTGGATAATACACGTACACATACGATGTACGCGCGTGCACCCGTGGAACACAGAGAAAGAGAGAGACTAACATAAGAAACGACCGTGCAAAGGGATCCAAAAGGACCAGAGCGATTTCGTGTTTGTAACGAGAGAGACGCTGCAATTAAGATTATAAGTAGAAGGGGGAGAAGATGATTATGACGTTATCGTGTATTTTTATTCTATCATTGTATTATTATTACAATTAATATTATTTGGCATGGCTGGGGAAATACGTGTGGTTGTGGGAGCGAGCGCGTGTACGAGAAGAAGAGGAAGGGTGAGAATGGGAAGGGAGGAGAGAAAAAACGTACGGTACTATCGGAAATAACTGTCAGTACTAACGGTGAGTGGAGATGAACGATTCAACGCCTGTCACCTGCACCATGGAAGATCGAGATGATTTCATTGCGATTAATTGTGGTTATTACTTAATTATAAATGATTCCGGTTGTCCATGTAACGGTACGAACCCGAGAATAGATGCGAAAGGGAAGGGGTCGAGGCAAGAGGGACGTTACTTACTAATTAATGTACATACAATTGTGTAATCGTTCGTGCCCGTTGCGTCGAAACGGCCAAGGGTTGACGAAGGCAGTGCACTTTGTTGGCGAATTTCCTCGATTTGTGCAAGAAAGGAAAAAAAAAGAAAAATAAAATTTGTGTAATACCGAGTGATCACTGGGCGTTCGTTTCTGTTTCGACCGATCTAAAGATCTTAATGATTTCGTATTCCACGGTCGCGGAAGTAAACGTTCCTGCGAACGACTCGTTTTTTTCCAATTACATGTTCATTTCCATACGCGAATCGGGGTTGTGATGAGGGGAAATGGAAGGAATTCCTTTTTATTTGGTTTGACCAGGGTAGTAGATCAAAGTTTAAAACGATGATAGTACTGTACAAAACATACGCATTTAATAATTTATAGCAATACGCACACGGTGTACAACATATAAGCCTTCCGTAATATTATCGTATGTTGCTAACTCGCGGATCGTCGTTAACGCTAAATATTCTGTACAATCACAATCTCTTTAATGCTAGATAAAACCATCGAGCTCACTCATCTATCAAAGCGACAATCTGCGACTCTTGCGTTACCCTCGCGGTACCGCGCGGCTTCTTGTTATCGGACTCCCTGCCAATGGACGGTCCAGGGAGAGCAGCCGAGAGGGGTCCAAAGGTAAGAGTTACGGTACTTACAGCACACAGACATACAAATGTAAAAAGTTACACGTCAGGCCTAATTCTTTGAACGATCTAGTTCAAGCGGGCGTATACATACGTGTGTGCGTGCGTGAAAGAGAGAGAGAGAGAGACAGAGAGAGTGTTGTGTGTGTGTGTGTGTGTGTATATATATATATATACATACTTTTTGTCAAAAATATTTTATATGTACAATTGGATGATGTCGCAAAGATACGTGATATATACTTACACGCCGTGCAGTCCTCGCTTCGATTTCTTTTTTTTCGATATCGTACCAATAAGCGTAGGACCTAAATAATGTTTCTACTGGCAATTCATTCCACCGCGCATTGTCTCACATTTCGGTTTCGTTCAAGTAACGCGTGTCTTAATTCGTGGTTAAGGAGTAACCAAAGTACGATCATCTAAACCTAACTGCACGTTATTCTCTTTCGTCCACGAGTTATTCCGAAATGCTCCTTAACGCATCAGCCAGATTTTAAAGTTATTTTAAAACATTGATAATTTTCTTGGAAATCAAATAGAAAACTTTACTTTGTGAACGCAAAGTGAACTTTTGCTGTTAACAAAACTTTGGTTTAAGGGATTAATTGGATTGGTTGCATTGCAAAAGCTTCACCGATTATCAGTCACTTAGATTTATGGAATATCCATTCTGACCCGACCAGTTGAAGAAAGTAGTTGATACTAAGGATTAAAAAGTTAGTAATTAGAAGGCTAAATACAAACGAAGAATATACGTGTAGGAATATGTATACCTATAATATACTTTCGCTATCATACGCATCTAAGAGGAAGGTGCCTCTTGATCCTAATCGATCCGTTGTGCAGAAAAGGAGATCGGTTTGATTACGGCATGTCAACCTACTCGAAAAACAATGGAGAAGTGTCGTTTCACAAAGTAAAATCACCGCCTCGAAAATGAGGAAAACTATCGTCAGGAGAACCGTTGTGATTCGAAGCGTATTCTTTACTAAACTCACGTTCACCGATTCCGAGCGGGACCTTTTTTATGTCCTTTACAATTAAAACGAGAATTGATACATTAAATATATTCACTTAGTGATCGTACCAAAGTGATGAAGTAAAATTAGGAATGTAGACTTACCAAAGTATTTTTTTCCCGACATGATGGAATCGATCAATTACGGTTTCGCATTAACCTCATGTCAAAGCACTAAAAAATGTCACAAAGAATAAATACCGCGTAACGTAATGAGTGAATATACGTGCGATCGGAATCGAGGGTGAAACGGTGAGCCAAGAGTTTGCGAGTCTTGTCAAATTACTCTAAAAATGTTGTATTAGATGTCTATGCGCGGCCTATACTGTAACCTTAGTGGTGGGTCCCGGAACCTCCATCTTGTGACGTACACGAACTTTAACGTGTGGTCCTTACCTAAGAGTTCATCGTTACACAAAATATCGATCTGTAATAAAAAGCCAGGTTGGGTTAAAAATGAATGCATCGACATTTTGTTAAAGCATAAATTAATCTAACTGGTAATCAATATTTGCACTGGGTTGCCATTTTTCATGTAAGAAGAGAATACTACTTACATCCCGATACTTCTCCATGCCATTCAGGACTTTTTTGGCTATGAATTTCTTAAGATGAGTGATCGTTGCTTGTGCTGAACATCTAATAAATCTACGCTTTAGTGTCTTTAGGCTTGCATTTATGCATTCCAAACATACATTGACCTACAATAAGCATAGATGTAGTTTTAATGTGAAAACAATTTATTTTACTGAAATGAAGTATAATATATACCTGCTCATCTGCACGGTGATAATCAGACTCTGCGTGAGTATCTCCTGTTGGTTTCTCTTCCTCGACTTCACCAGCATTTGGTAGAACATCCTTAGGACAAGGTAAACCTTGTGCCCGGTAAAATTCCCGTTCTCTTTTGATTTCATCTGAAGAGGAACCATAAAACAGTAAGTACAATAACTTGTATCGAGCAAATTAAAAAAAAGGTCGACTGAAGGCTTAACGTGTACAGAGAAAATTATTTAGATAACGGCAAAGGTTGTCTTACTTTCTTGAAGATCAGGAACGAGTTTATAGACAATATCCTGCATTGTTCTGTCGAAACTGATATACTGTAAAGGATGAGACTGGTGTATAACTATTTGGCATGTTGGACAAGTGTGCTTCTCCTCGAGGTGCTTCACTAGACAACTTTTGCAGAATGTATGTAGACACTCCGTCACAGTGGTTGCATCTATTAAGTAGCCTCGACATATCTTGCACGTTATATGACTATTCAGAGTCTTAAGTTTTATTTTTCTCTCCATGGCACCAGTAAGCACCATTTAATCGACCGGTGTCACCACCTAAAAGGAGAAAAGAATAAACGATATATACAGGAAATGGAAAATTAGAACTCTGGATCAAAACCACAACTGAGATTCCACTATTATTAATATTCTGGGCACTCTGGCTGAATTACCTTCTTTTTTCTAAAAATCAATAATTACTTTTGCATAGTTCTTTTTGTATTTTTGGCGGTGGTATAATCATCAATATTTCAGAGGTGTTTTTATAGAATTTTGAAGAGCATGTCCCATGTTCTATGACAAGTACATCCATTGTTCCATGATGCCACTACTGGACAAATTATTTGCATTCTGCATGTTACAGAAACTGTTATTAAGACAAGTCCCTGAAAGAACAGTTCACGTCTCTCGAAGAAACCAAATCATTTCAATGCTGATTCTCGAAAGATTATTATAACATCGCTACAAATTTAATAAAGATTTTACTAGGTCGAATGGTACAGAACCATCTATACTTTAAATAGTTATCTAGTATATTCTCCAAACTTGAAACTAACGAATGTAAGGAGGTTTACCGATGAAAAACGTCAGGTGAATCGTGTACTCCTGTCACTGTGGTCACAGACTCGAAGAGGGCAGAATGTAGAGTGCATCTTTCCAAAGTCCAGAGTTCTTTAGAGCTCTCGAGGTGGAGTCGTGCCGTCACTAAGACCGGTGGTTATCGAGAATCGGGTGGAACGCTAAATCGAGGCGATTCCTCCGCGGTATTCGGATTCATCCGCGTTACGCACGAATTTCCTATTTCTAACCTTAAACCGCGCTCCAAGTCCGGAGAGGCAGGTTTTACCGCGGTTCCACGCTGTGGGATAACAAAAGCATGGTTTTTGTGCTCGTTAACATTTTCTCGACCACTCAACGCTGAGGATGAAGATAGGAAATTAAGATATTTGCTAGAAAAGACTTCGTAAAACTTAAGGGACTTCTAAATGTGGCAAACGACAACAAAACGGATCGAACGCAGCGTCGCATCTCGACGAAATTAAGAAACTCATGTCTCCGGCCATATGTAGCTACAGGGGGCAGCACTGAAATATATAGCAGAGATGAGTTGGGAGACTGCTCACGGGCAGGGTCGTGCGATTGCATCCTGTGCTGCCCTCTGGTTTCGTACGTTAGCTTTTATCGTTTTTTGTCCCCAAGGGCGGCGCAACGAATTGCTGATAGGGGCGCGCGCTCTCGCGATGTCGGTACCATCTACCACGGCGGCTCACGTACTCGTGATGGTAATACCATGCGGCAGTTGA